GCATGAAATAGCTGTACTTGATTTTCCCTGTGATGGTACGAGTAGTATAATAAGTACAAAGTGCTTCTTAAAAAATAGTATGTTGTATACATACAATAAATATGTTACGGTTTGTGAATCTTTTGACATCGACAGTTACTTCGGACCGATGACTCCAATGATGCCGGATCTAACAGAATTCCCCTAGAACAAGCAAAAAAATTCCTCAGACTCGCAACTTTTTTAAGAAAATCCTCCAAATCATATTTTTGCTGTAGTCGAGGCGTGTGTTTATAGAGCTGAACTAGTTGACTACGGGAGGAGAAATAATATTAAAAATAATTTTCCAACGAATTGAGACTATTTCTCAAACTTATCAGACCAACTCGTTTCTTGACGTGGCGCATGAACGTCAGACAATACGCGCATTCGCAATTACTTTGAGACTTGGGGATTGAGAAATCGCAGATACGTGGATCTACAAGACGAATAAGTGAGCGCAACATCGCGGAAAAGACGAGTAATCGTCCTGTTCGTTCTCCCGAAACACGCGTGTGAGGCAAAGATAGTTAAATCAACCGGGAAGTTAACAATTTATTATTCTGCTGTTTATCTGTTTCCTCTGACTATGGATGTATGTCTACCAATCTAAATTTGACATAAAGGTATAGAAATGGGTCACTATAGATGTTTTGAGGATATGGGTGCGACATGGGAAAAGAAAAAGCTGCTGAAAGATAAAATTGTTACTTAGCAGTTTTTCGTAGTTAAAAATGGAATAAAACACCCTAAAAATACCCAACAATTTTATTTTTCCCCAAAAAATAATCCCTCAGAACATGTTATCTCCCAAAAATTCCCCAAGAAACGTAAAAATCCCCGAATTTGAGTGAAACTCTTAATCTGGCCACCCCGGATGTCTCAAATTGGACCGTTCTATGTTGGGTAGTCAGGGTTCATTTAATGATTCGTTTCATTGCCGGACCCGTTCCAATAGATTCGTTCATGTTTCATAACACCGATGATTGATAAGTAATTCACAAAAATAGCATGCCATCTAGTTTTCAGTTCTATATCAATGCATATCCTACATTTTGTAACTAAATGTTAGAGACTTTATTATTCATACAAATTATATGTTAGCTGCAAGTTTATTCTAGTCATTACCGCTCATTTCTTGTACAGCGTGGCCGATATGTAACTGTCTGCTTTATCTTCAATATTTGTGAAATGAAATAAAATACGCCCTTTGTTTTCATCTTTATCTTTTATTGGAACTTAGAAATTATGATTACATTTTCCATCACTTTTTGGTAGGTTTCGGGAAGAATATTTTCAGTCGCTTAGTAATATGATTCTTCAGCTGCTCTACAGTACTTGGTTAGTTGGCATAAGCCCTATTTCTCAAAAATCCCCCCAAAAAAGGTCAGGAGCCGTTAAACCCGGTGACCTTGGTGGCCAGTTGACATCGCCAAATCGAGAAATTAAACGTCCCGGAAATATTGTTCTCAAAAGATTCATTGTTTCCCTAGATGTGTGACAAGTTGCTCCGTTCTGCTGGAAGCACTTGTTTTGCAGGTTAAATTGTTTTATCTGAGGAGCCAGAAAGTTTTGCACCATGTCACGGTAGCGCTCGCCAGTGACAGGAATGGAATTACCTGCAGCGTCTTCAAAGAAGTAGGGTCCAATGACACCTCCTTACCAAACACCGCACCAAACTGTGACTCGACGAGGATGTAGTGGTAGAGGCTGACACGAGGGTTCTCTAATGCCCAAAAACGGCAATTGTACTTATTAACAAATCCGTTCATATAGAAGTGGGCTTCATCGCTCATTATCAGTTGTCGATAGAAATCATTTGTTATTCGCTAACGCTGTATTCGTATCAGATATTTTGAGTTCTACGAAATTAAACTGACAAATCCAATAAGCACACAGTAATACCGATATAAATCTGATGCCAACTCTGTAGTGTATAAATATACGTATATAGCATTAACGGCCAGTCACCGGGCCACTCCACCCTCTGCCCAATAACAGTTATGCTCCCTCTCTCTATTTTGGGTATTAAGCTGTAATATTGCATGATTGTATTGTCGGCGATGGTCACTAGGCTGTAGTTCTTGTTTTAACTAAATTTTGTATGGCCGCAAATGCAAGTCTTTTTTTACTCGTAAGATAGTGCATAATGACATGGACGAATACCCAGTTCTTGAGAACGATGTCTGGTAGATATCTCAGGGTACTCCACTACACTTTCACGAACTCTCTCGATATTTTCCGGGTTACGAACAGTTCGAACACGGCCCGACCTTGACAAGTCTTCACCTGTTCGTTCAAATTTCCGCACCAACTGACGAATGGTGTTGACACTAGGCACATTATTTCGACTGAAATCTTGTCGTAGCTTCCGAATCGTTGCAAAAATCGACTCATTATTTAAGTAAAACGTTTTATCAATCCGGACCCGTTGTTGGATCGTGTAGCACTCCATGATGAATTTGACACATCTGTATTAAACAACTGCTACCGCATCACCTACTGAGTTGCGGGTATCAAAAATGCAGCGCAATTTAAATCAATCAGTTATATATTGGCCACCCTGTATATTCGGAACCGTTCAGAGGTTAAGCCTAAAGCATACTCGAACATGCCATTCATATGATTCGCACATTCGCCGTTATTCTATTGTGCCACCAGTGACGTTCCTGCAAAGCCTTGAGATACTTCTTACAAATAAATTGTTTTTAATGCGAATGATAGCAGTTTTATTCATGTATAGATGATGACGAACTTTTTCGTAAAAATGTCACAAGATACGTTTGCAGAGATATAGCAATCGAATAGCGTTTCACACCAAAATGTATCATTGTGTATTAAATTATAATATGCTGCATATTAAAATAATACCTAAAGTACTTTCGAAGATATACAATAAAAATATTTTTTTCCCAAAAGATCAACACCTTTTAACTGAAACATTGCGGACATATGCTCATGAAAACTTTTCTTCACGAAATCGACTTAGGAATTATATCCTTCCTGTATGTTTTGGAGGTCAAAAGTACAGGGTGTTAATAAAGTATGTAGACAAACTTCAACTATCGAATCCTTGGTCGATTTGAAGACTAAATGTTCACATGAACATGGGTCCGTATCGTCTTTCCTTTCGAGCTAGAGAAAGAAATACGAGTAATGTACCAAATAGTTGGTATAACCTATGATAAATTTTGCATGTTTTACAAGTTGCTGAGGCTCTATATGAACGTTGATGAAAATAGTATTCTCCTGTATTTTTGGAAAAAAAATATTTAGAAGGTCAATAGCTTTGAACATTAACATTCGAATAGAACGACAACAATATAAAAAAAAAAACGGAAAGGTTTTTTTACAATAAGTGTTCAAATTGACGACCTTCGACTTCAATACAGGCGTCTAGTCTGTTGGATATTGACTGACGAACTCTCCTGAAAATACCCGGAGTATTTTGTATAGTCAGACATGGCTCGACAATTCTGACACGTAAGTCCTCCACGCTTTGAACAGGAGTCTTGTATACTAATGATTTCAAATGTCCACATAAAAAGAAATCGATAGGATTCATGTCAGGCGATCTAGGCGGCTATGACTGTGTTCCGTCTCTTCTAATTCATCGATTTGGATAATAATCTAGGTATTCTCGTGCAACGACACTAAAGTGTAGCGGAGTACCGTCATGCATGTACCACATGCGACGTCGTTTTCTAAGAGGAATTTCCTCCATTAATCCAGGTGGGTCAAATTCCAAAAATCTTCGGTAGTCTTCGCCGCTAAGTCTGGGAGAAGGAAGTGAGGGCCAATCAAGTGGTCGCTAACGACTCCAATCCAAATATTGAAGGGCAGGTCGTGTTGCGTATTATGTTCAATTCTATCATGGGGATTTTCTTTACACCATACATGGTTATTATGGAAATTAACTATTGCTGTTCGCAAAAAACATTTTCACGTAAAAAGTTGCAAAACTCAACTTTTATAGGCAAATCTCGAGGCAAAAGCGCTTGTACACGTTGTATATGATATGGATACCGTTACATGGTTTAAATTTAGCTGGTGCGCAATTTTTCGTGTACTTGTTGTAGGGTCCTCTTCGATTTTATTAAGTACAGCTTCCTTGATTTGGATGGTTCTTACACTTGCGGGTCTTCCTGCAACATGTGTGGATCTCTTGAAACTGTATGTTTCACATAGTCGAACATGAATGTTGATGATAGTTTGTACATTAGGCAGTGGGCGTTGTGGAAATCGATCACCATACAAACGTCGTGCTCATCGAGCGTTACCCAGGACCATTTCTTAAACGAACTGCATAACTGTCATTTCGAGATTACTGACTATTATGACAATTAGTAATAAAAAAAAACTTAGAAATATTTGGAGTCTTAGAATGACCAGACAAGAAAACAAATATTTGACAGCTGTCGAATTATTTGAGAGAATAAATTAATTCATTTTGTTTCGAGTACGTCATAGGTGTCTAGATAAGCACAATTCTTAAATATTATAAGTATTGCGATCAAAACAAATCAATGTCAGGTTTTTTTTCAAAAAATACTGGATCCTTATCTACGTACATGAAGGGTCTGAAAGCAACTGTAAATCAAGTGATATTTACCACAGGGCATTCTTAATTAAAATAAAATACGTTCCATTCTTTTATAATTTTTTAGAACAATATCATTTCTTTGAGTGCTAGCTTGAAAACAAAGCCGTTGCGGACGCATGTTCATATGGAAATTTCGTCTTCAAATTGACCAAGGACTCGATGGTTAAAGTTATTATTGCCATGAACTATGCTGTGGAAAAAATCTGGAGTGAAACACGAATGATTTTTTTATCTTTGGCTAGGTGTTTTGGTTCATGAACCACTGTGCGTTGTCTTTACACATTGAGGCATATCGGATAAACTTAGACAATTGCAAAATATGGACCAAAACTACTCATCTACTAGGGGTCATCTTACTAGGGCCAATTTTTTGTTACAGCCTGTACCTCTATCGCCTAAGACTCCCGCTACTGCGAAGCAAAATACCCCACCAACTGCCAAAAACGAATGTCGATTCACCTTTGAACTCACTAGGCCACATGTACTACCCACCGCAAAATCAGAGGTAAGAACTTAACCCTTAACCGACGTCGTGACTATTTTGTGCACAACCGCCGTCGAGTGGTCCGTGGGACCGCAAAATAAAAAATATATTTTCGATGACTGTTTTAAGAAACACTACTTTCTTGGAATATACTATAGGTTGAGTCCTTATTTATGTATTATGTTTAAAAAAACATGTAAAGTCCGACTAAAACATTTATTTTTAACTTTTATAGCATACAGTTTTGTGTATATTAATTTACCAACCTTATTAATTGTAGTTATAAATGACTAAAAAACATTAAACCTGAAAATTATTTATCATATTAAGAAATACACCCTAAAGAACTATTTTGCACAAATATAAGCTCTATAACATCCAAAAGAAAAAAACGTGCAGAGTAAAATATAACAGAATTTATTGTAATCTACAAATTACTTTATAAGAACACCTAGACTTTACTAACACAGCTACGGCATATTTTTTTGGAACATTCCAGGCAAATTGGTTTCTTGCAATGACAACATAATTATACGGTTTTTCTTTTCCTCTTTGGGGGACAGATGTGGTACGTTTTTATTTCGTTCCTGGCCAACCTGTCGACACCATGGTCCTCTTGTAGCGGAACATCTTGATTTCCCAAAGCTCGTGCAATTGAAGATCTCAGTTTCATATGGTAGTCGCACTGCAACGTGTTTTCGTTGAAAATATAGTTCCAAGCACAAACTGGATCAAACACTTCATTTTCATTTTGCGGAACACGAATTCCAGGTAATTTTAAAATATTATGTGCTGGATTTCGAATATTTCATTTTGGTTCGGTATAAGACCATTTAAAGCGGTTTTTACCATAATAATAATTCGGGTCTTCGTTATCCGATGAGTCGTTGTCACTCACTTGTACTGATTGATTATTGGATTGATCAAACTCTTCATTCGGTTCTAGATCTAATTCGGAATCGGTATCATATTCACTTTCTTCAACGTAATCTTCATCTTGGTCGGACATATCCACATCTGAGTCTAGTGATTCCAGCATGCGCATGACCTTGGCTTCGAAATCGGGGTCAGCAAAGTTTACACTGTCGGGAACGCGTGCAGAAGCCATTAACAATACAAAAATGTTGTACACACCCAGACACTTTACACTTAAGCCGCTGTGAGGTACCACGGACCGCTTTATTTTATTACGAAAAAACTAACGCTCAAATAAACACGACTACACTACTTTAGCACTGCTGTTGTACTAATAAGAAGGTATTAAGACGGATACGCGTGAACGACAGATAGTAGTGGGGAAAAATTAGGAACGAATATCGCCAGCGGTCCCAGGTACCTACGACGTCGGTTAAAGGTTAATCACAGATCAGTAAGCAATTTTCAATTCGTAGACTTTAAGATATGTAGCTTTCAGCTGGATACAAAGAGCGTCAAGTGCAGGTCATAACAGTTCTTTCTTCAACACCGCGACATCTATACAGGATGCTTGTTATGCAACCATCGAGACCTCTATTGGTTACTATGCTGTCACAATTGTGTTCAGTATTCAGTTAAGAGGTGATTTGACAAAAAATGTCAGAACCGTCGTTTAGGAAACTGTATCTCAGAAATGAAGCGGCGTTTTAAAAGTAGTCAAAGAAAAAATAGTCCTAGAATAGTCTATTCCTTGATATTTTTTCAGTTTCAAGAAAATACCCTGTTTACCATGCTATGCAACAGTGTCTTCTAAGTACTTCTCTCCTTCAGCTCTATTGAGAGAGGTTTTCAGATCGCGTGCCTGAGCTTTAGTCGTCCCATAAATGGTTAAATAAGTAGCTATTTTGCCAAGATGTATGTAAAACAGGCGTAAAATACAACTCTTATCGAACATATTTTAGAGCTTTTATCGACTTTTCTAATAGTATGTAATTTTAAAAAAAGTACCCATACTTCAGTCGATGGTTACCTCATAATTATCAGATTTAACCAAACTAAATAAAAAGTGCTTGTCTATAGGCTAGGCAAAGTGGCGAGCAATAGTAGGAGTAGTTTAGTGGCAAACGATTTAGGTCAAAGCCCGAAATACTCTCGTGTCTCGAACCTTAAGTACGTCGTACTTGTAAAGGTACGCGTCTACATGTCCACATGGTACACGTCATAGAAGGCCGTGCCGTCACATACAACACATCTAGAAGCAACAAAATAAGACTTTCTGTGGACAATAATCAGTCTCCATGGCAGAATCCCTCGATTGATGAACTTCCGTGCTAGATAGATGCGGATTTTAACTTCAGTTCTACAGTAACGATGTGATGCTGCTTATGTTTCATATGGTCATTTTTCAACACTAACATAATAAAACGTAAGCTTAAACGCACATTTATCACAAGAAGCACCTTAATTCCAGGGCTTATTAAATTCAAATAGCACTTCGTCTGTTAAATGCGGCCATTGAAACGGTGAATCCCTTCTTAGTCTACTGTGTATCCCTCAAAGGAAAACATGCCGTATTTTCTCATGATTGAAATTAATACTAGAGGTCCGTGTATTTTGGCCTTACCTCTCTTCCTACAAATCCTTCTTGCTTATGTACAAATCCCAGTAGACACGAAGAAAAGGGATAAGGTTGGTAATTTGAAAGTAGCCGGAAACATAGGGTGCCAGCTTTAACTTACGTGAAAGTGAGAAGAATGAGAAGGTCGATTCCAAGCTGTTATAGCTGGATTTAAAACCGCTACCAATTTTCTGAAAAAAAAAAGGTTCAATTTAGATATAATAGAACTTACGGATGCTCTATTACTATTATGTATCCATCGAAGAAAGTGACTAAACCTAAACATATTCACGAATACTCCACGTGATCGCGCTTCAGAACGCCGAGCACGTTACAGGGCCGTACTAAGAATAAATGATTTGTGGTTTTACGACACGATCAAAGAGTATGCAAAATTATCGCAGGCATGTATACGGTCCAATCGTAAAGCTTGGAATTAATATATTTTTTTAATTTAACTGTCATCCCAAAAAAACATTAATTGATAAAAGTAAAAGTGTTTTATCAAGAAATTATACTCGAAATGTTTCGTAAGGCGCATTTTTAAAGCAGGCTTTTTAATAATGTCTTGACACATTAACAAAATAATATGCATATGCATATACCTTACCACCGCTTGAACAGGTACGTCAGTGTGCAAACAGTCAATTTAAATATTAGACTAAACAGTGAATAGATAGATGGGGTTAAAAAAGATTTGAATACATTTATAATATATACTAAATAGTATACAATAATTTATTGCAAAACATTTTACCTCTGAAACCGGAATTACATATATTCGAAAATAAAAATCATTTTAGATCTGAGGCCGTGGAACTCGCACTGTTAACAAGATTTATGATTAAAGGAGCAACATGCGTATCAATGATGCCGTCTAATTCCCACATTTTAGGCTCGACCTTTTCCTTTACATGCTGAATACATTTTTCCCACTTATTCGGTGTTATTCTTTGTATAGCATCATGAAAAATATTTTTATGGTCAGAAAATTTAAAAGTTTTATTTTCTGCTGCAACATATTTTTTTAGATCTGCCCAAATGAGCTCAATCGGATTGAGCTCACAATGGTAAGGAGGGAATCAGCAGTTTTATTTTGTTTTTTGGCCATTTCATCAATTATGTTCAGGTTATATTTATTTTTATGCGCCTTGACAATTTGTAACAATTCGGCCTTTAACCACTGTGTCATCATAACCAATCTTTTTATTTTTAAGCCATCCCTGAATTTCTGAATTTATTGTTGACGTTGTTGGAGTTTTCTCTAATTTTTTCGTGTGGTATGAAGCATTATCTAATACTATGACCGAATTATATTCAAGCTTCGGTAGAGTATTTGAGAACCAATTTTTGAACGAGGCATTTCTTCATGGTAGTCTCCCGTTTTTTTTTTGAATTCAAATCGGAAACAAATCCATCTTCGCTTCTCTTTTTCTGAAAATAATTCATTTTGAACAGTTAAAAACCGCTCCCATTGAAAGCATTATTAAAAACCCAACAAAACGATTACTTGATTTCTTATCTCGATATAGTTTAAGCATGTACAAATACAAAAATAAAATACGATTTTAGTTCAAATTCTTCAACTTACAAGTATTAACAAATATACCAGAAATACGTACGTATGTGCCTTGAAATATTACCTGAGGGATTTTTTAATCCAGGGGATAGTCCATTTAAGGACGCTTGCTTTGAAGATTTTATGGAAGAATCCATCCAAACCTTCGCCTGTGTATGTCCTGCGTTCACCCATGTTTCATCTAGGTAGTATATTTTCCTACCTTGTGCACGAAATTGTCTCTTTTCTCTTAGGTAGTTCCTTCTCCAGATAACTATTTCATCTTTTTCCAATAAAAGGCTGTTTCTTCCCCGCTTATTGTATTTCTTTTAATAATTTATGGAAGGTAGATCTCTTGAAACTTGGCAAGTCATTATCCTCGTTAACCAGCTTCAGCACTTTATCCACCGTTGGTAATTCATTACGAAAGAAAACTTATGTGCAGATACTTTTTTGGATCGACCAGTAAATGGTTAAATCAATTCGGTAAACATTTGCACGAGTAACGCTCGAAATACTTGCTACTTTGCAAACAATGTCCTGCACACTTGAGTCACTGACAAATCTAATAAGCACCCAGTAATACCGGTATAAAGCTGATGCCAACTCTGTACTGTATAAATATATATATATATATAAAGAGAAAATAATCATGCGGGCTTGAAGTACCACAGCTAGTGGCTATAACCGGCCGCGTGGTTGTGGTTAGATGTCGCCTTGAAAATTCGAGGCCTTCTAGCTATTTTATACTACAATGTGTAGGTTGGCTCTTGTTGTGGACTTCGTGTGTGATTTTTTTCCCATCCATCTTTATTTCTTCAGGTTACACCCGTATCCGGATGTATGAGTATGTATCTACTTTTGTAGTTGCATATGTGCATTCATTTCGGGCCTGATGAAGCCAACCAGCAGAAATACGTATCGCTCGGGTTACCTATCCTATTTTCTGCTCGAATCCGCTTTTCTCCTTTTTGCGGCTTTTGCCGATTATTTTCCTATTTTTTTTGTTATATATATATGTATATAACTTGAGACGTGGTCATTGTCGTCTAGACCAGTTAGGTGAAAAATCAAAGCTTCCGCCTTTTGTTGGGTACTTCGACAAAATTTAAGCAAAGAGGACTTTTTATACTTTTTTTAATTCTCTCTAGCTTTCAATGGACTTTGCCATCATCATCAGGAGCTGCAATTACAATGATAACAGTAGCAACAAAAGTGTAAAATGAATTTAAATTGAATCAACTTACAGTAGTATGTGAGGATGTTGCTAATTGTTGTTTTCGTATAGGATGAGGGAAAGGTCCAGTAACATGGTGAGAGCTGAATACATGGTACAATGGTTAAAATTATATAAAATATGACAAGACAAGTTAAAGACAGATTAAAAATTATTTAGAAAACATTAGAGCATTACGTCGTGAAGCCACTTGATGATTGCACAAAATGGTGGTCATGGAATAATGAGTGAGATGAACCTTTGACAGAAGGCCGAAGGTAGTCAATGTCTGTGTTGAAAGATGGAACGAATTGTGGGCGTGTGCCAATAAAGAAAAACACCTTTCCAAACGTTTATTCCTTTAAATGTCCCACATTTTCATGAATAACAACTGTATCAACGAAAAGACAGATATTAAACAACTGAGTGTCATTTACTCATATTTGCTAAACTGCGAAAAATTAGAGAACTTACATATCTCCCCAAATTTCGACTTTTCACAACCATAAATATAATCTGTGTTTTGGCCGATTCCACCAACAAATTTCATTCCACTCAAAATCTAATAATTCTCTTCTCACGATTAATTAATAATTGTTAATTTAAAATTCCCATTAATTAAAATATAGTTTATTCAACTGCCTCTGGTCGCTTTAACAATTTCTTATATAACATTCTGAAAATCACATCATCTGAAGTGATTTGGCAATGTTTTGGCACACGCCCACAATTCGTTCCATCTTTCAACACAGACATTGACAACCTTCGGCCTTCTGTCAAAGGTTCATCTCACTCATTATT